CACACACACACACACACACACACACACACACACACACCTGGAGCGTCAGCTTGTTTAGACTCAAACACTCGCTGCTCCAACTGCAGACAGAATGAAACAAAAACAACTCTTCCTGTTTTTTTTTCTTCTGTGAAACACTTCCTATTTTGTGTTTCTTCTGCAAAATGAAAATAATAATAAAAAACCCTCCTAGGACCGTTTCTGCTTCAAAACCTGAACTCAGCTTTAAAGTTTCTGTGGGGGGAAGTGAAACTTATTAAAGAAAATCTAATTCAGTTCAAAGAGAAAGAGTKGAGACGCCTCAGACAACTGAGACAAACTGTTGAAACTAATTTATGAAAACATTCGATCTGAAGCGGGGCAGATATAAGATTTTGTCTTCTGCTGCCTTTCATTTATTTATGATTTGTATTTTAATTATATTGAATTTATGTTGTTTTTAATGAATGAATAAACATTATTATTATTAAAAAAAGATTGAAGCTGTATATATAAATATATAATTGATATTCATAAACAGACTGATGTAATTAGTTGAGTTTTTCAGGTGCTGCTTCCTTTCATCCACTCACCTGTGAACACAGATTCTCCTCACTCGGCTCGTAAAGATTTACGTCTTGTTTACAAAATGTTACCCGACACCACACGTTCCAGTCCCCCCCACCCTTAACGCAGAGCTGAACTCAGGGAGGCAGTGACCGGCAGAAAAATACCTGCGGCTGTTACGCAACAGGTAGCATGCGGCCTCCATGGTAACGGCGGGGGGTCTGTGTGGAGCGGAGCGTGTAATAACACGGATCTGTGCGCCCGGCCGACCGCAAAAAAAACACAAGGGCCTCGGCGTGGACGGTGACAGAGTGTGCTCTCACACACATACACACACACACGGTTGCCACAGTGACTTTTAAAGATCACCTTTAAAGCCTTCCTCGTCCACGATGATGGTGTAGTCCTCTGGAGTTTCTGTCAAACTGAAAAACTTGCATCTGAAAGAAGAAAAAAAACACTTTTAATAAACAAAAGCTGCTTAACGACAAAAATTCCTGAATCTCCTCCGACTCCAGAAAACTCAAAAGCTAAAAGATGTTTTCAGGACTCATTTTATGCCGAGGCTCAGAACCGGGCCGTCAGYAAAACCCAGTCTGGTTCTGCTTTCAGTGTAAACCCCCCGGACGCCGTGAGGGGCGACGCTCGCTGTGAGAGGAATCTGAAAGATCTGGAGACGTTTTTATTACACAAACATGAAGCTGAAGATACGACTCAGCAGATTTTATGTTCTGAAATGTAAAAGTGAACAGAACCCTGGAGCAGGACAGCCTCTGTGTCCCTTCACAATAAAACCAGCGTCTTTACTGAGCACCAAGTGTCAAATTACATGTTACAAACAYATTTTYATTATKTAACTCACTTCCATTAACATTTTGTTATTTAGCTTTTGCTAAATTTCACTAAATATAAAATGTAAATATTAAATCCTAAATCTAAAAGTTAAATCTTAAATTATTGTGGATGAATGCTGAAGTTTACCATTATGTATTGTATTGTATGGAACACAGTCTTTACCATTATGACATCATCATCCTGCGACAAAAGCAGCTGCTAACGCTGCTAACTCTGCTGAAGGTGGTATTTAAAAGTTAAACTCAAAATGTATTCATTGAAAACAATATAGCGTTAGCAGCATTAGCGTTTGTCGCAGGATGATGAGATCACAAAAAAAGCAAAGGTTGCTCCATAACAAAGTTCTCAAATGTAACATTTAATATTTACATTTAGAAATAAAATGTAACATTTAGACATAGCGTTTAAATTTAATATTTGCAAAACTTAGTAAAACATAAGAAGAACTAAATAAAGTATGATTTAAATAAAAAAAGACATTTTTTAACATTTATTTTGCACAGGAGGCGTCTCGATATGAAACATTTGTTCTGTTAAATTGAAATATAAAAAYGCTCTGAGCCTGTTGGTTAATAACATTTAGCTTTTGTTTAAATTCGACGGTGTTCATCCTGTGAAAGCACTAATCTTCAGTCAGATGAACAGATCCAGTGTTGAACTCTGGCTCTGGTAGTAGCTGAGAGTCACACCGACACCGGCTGTGAGGGTGTATCTGTGAGAAACGATTATATTTGTCTGAAAGGTGTGAAAGAACACGGAGCAGCGGCCATGTTTCACTTTAATTAAATCAGCTGTCAGCTTTGATTTGCAGCTTGTTCTTTTATCAGAGCTGGGACGTCCAGGTGAGGATGATGATGATGATGACGAGGACTCTGATCAGGCGGACGGACGATAACGTGGACAGAGTGGCGAGACGCCGTCATCGCTGCGTCACATTCTGCGGCCACACGAGGAACTTCACACAGACGCTTCAAACGAACGACTGAGCTTTAATCCAGGAACAGAGGCCTGATTAATCGAACAAAGAGTCACTTCTGTGTTTGCTGTGGCGGCCATCTTAAACCAGCTTCATGAGATATTTTGCTAACAGACAAATCAGATTTGGGTCACTCCTGCCTGCAGAGGTTAGCTGATATGATACGAACAGAAGCTGAGCTTCACACATCAGAAGTTGAACCAGAACAAGTTTTACCATCAGTGAACTTTAAAGCTTTTTAATGAGATTAAATAAAGAAAAGTGATTAAAAAGGTTCCATTAAACCCAGAAGCCTTGTGTTTTTGTTTGTTTTGTTGTTTTACACCACAGAAGCAGCTGAAAGGAGCCGACGCTGATTGAATTATTAAAGGGCAGTAAATTATTGACCAGGTTTGATTGATTGGATCAGCTGAGAAATTTAATCTTTAGGGTTTTATCAGCACAAAAACAAACATTTTTTAGCCCCTGTCTGTAAAAACAAAAGAGCTTTGAGTCTTTGTTGAACATTAACAGTAATTTAACAACTAGGAAAACAATTTAATCAACATAAAAATGTGTTTTCTGCTGAAAAAAAAAAAACAATCCAACCAATAGTGCTGAGTCGTTGTTGTCCTGTTTGTTTCTTCTGTTCATTTTTTTTTTTTTACAAATTACAGCTTTTTTCATTCTGCTTCGCCCGTTTCATTCAGAACACAACTTCTGATTTATTTAACTTTATTTACAAACACTTTCTCACAGAAACACTTTGAATCTGCTCCGTTTTAAAAAACCTTCAACGACATTTATTTCATTTTAGTTTTTGTTTTCTCGTGCTACTTTTAGCTGCTAGCAATAGTTTAGCTGATTTAGCTTTTATCAGCAGTTTCGCAGACTTTTGGCAACTGTTCAGCTAACTAATTAGCCAAGTGTCTGCTTATTTTGGCTTTTAGCCATTGTTTTGTTCAACATAGTTTTTAGCTCATTATAACTTTCGCAGTAGTTTTGTAAACTTAGCTTTTAGCTATGAGTTCACTTTGTTTTAGCTTTTATCAAGTTTTGCTGATTTGTCTTTTAGCATCAGTTTTGTCATTTTTAGCTTGCAGCTGTAGTTTTGCTGAATTCAGCTTTTAGCTATGGTTTTGCTAATTTTATCTTACAGCAACAGTTTCAACTTTTAGCAACAGTTTTGTTAAATCTATCTACTAGATACAGTTTAGCCAAATTTATCTTTTAGCTATGGTTTATTTAACTTGAGCTTATTGCATCAGTTTTGTTACTTTAAGCTTAAAACACCATTTTATTTTAGTTTTTAGCTGCTGTTCTTTARCTTCTGCTCTGCTTGTTTGAACTTTACCATCTCTCAGCTCTCAGGGTTTTAACAGATTTACACAAAGAAAGAAATGTCTGGTTTTATTTCTTGTTCTGAACCTGAAGCAGAAACAGCTGAAGGCCTGAAGTCTGCAGAGTAAATGAAAGTTTGGCTGAATTGAAAGTCTTCAGCTGTTTGTCTGATTTCTGGATGAAGATCTCARAGCAGAAAACAGCTGCAGAAGAAAAAAAAAACAGCGAGCTACAAAAGCTACAAAATAACAAGAAAAGGACAGAAAACTGGAGAAGCTGCTCTGAGTCAAACATTAAAGCTAAACAGGAACAATAAACACCTTTAGGAAAGCGTCAGTTTCAGTGTTAACAGCTGAAGGAAACACTTAAAAACAACCACTGCACAGTTTTATTCACACAACACGTCTRCAGGAGCAACATACCTTGTTTTGGAGGCCAGGAAGGCGAGTTTTATTAATCCGTGAGCGCAAATCTGGATCCCCTCTTTCTCTATACTCGCCACTTTCAAGCTGTGCTCTAAAATGTGGAGCTCCATCTTTTACGTCTTCTCATTTGAGGAACGACTAAAACGTAAAACAAACAAAGTAAAAAAGCTAAACACTTTCAAACAGGATGCATAAATAAATAAATACACAAACACACACACACACACAGCAGCCCGGGGCGCATTAAACAGAGAATGAAACGGGGAGGCAGGGTGGAATAAAACCCGGACCTACAGTCAAACCCGCAACCAAAACACAACACACTTCCGCTTTGACATTTTCAAAGTAAAAGCCAAGATGCTARTTAGCATTCATTGCTAGCAAACATTATTCCCCTTACTGGCATATCTGTWCCAGAAATATCAGTATTTTAAACCAAAGGAACAATTTCAAGCCTTATTTTAYTAACTATGTTTTAACGTTATAAAAATAATACTTTAACACTGCTAACTATAGCTGTTGTTGCTAACTTTTAAGTTTCGTTCTGGTTTAGCTCATGTGATTTTGAATAGATTTGCATATGACATGCTCCAGAGACCACATTTGTTTACCAGTAAACTAAAGAAATACTAAAATAATATATTAACAGAATAATAATTTTAATGTCGTGATTCATTTTTTTAACCTGTATTTTATTGTATGGATTATTTTCAAAGTAGGACCATAAAATACAGATGAGACTCATCCAGTAATTATTTCTGAAACCTTTAGGATATTTAAAATGCAAATTCCAACAACTAAAATTCAAACAGACATTAAAAATAACATAAAAAAGTAGGGAACGAACAGGTAGATTTTGCCGACCTTGACCTCGAGCCTTTATTTTGATGAGAACACGTAAACACGGAAGTGACTGACCGATCTTCCTCCAGCTTCCTGGTCCCTGTTTGCTCTCCGACTGGAATAGTTAGCAGCTGGTCGGAGTGAAACAAACAACTTGCCATTCAAACGAAGGGGGCGGGGCTGAAAGAGCACGGCATTCTGGGAAATGTATTTTATCTCTTCAAAACGCGCAGACGTTTTACAGCATAATTACCACGCTATTTTTAATAAAGTTAACAAATATTTCACGTTCCAGAAACACGTTTTAAATGTTTAAAGTTTATTTTCCTCTCACTTGTGCAAACATTCAGGTCATTACAGAAGCTTTAAAAGCTTTTGATATTGGATTATAGACAAAATAATAATAAAATAAAATAGAATAAATTCTGCATWATGAAAGGGTGCCTTAATTTAGTGACATTTTTTTAAAAACAACGTATGTGCTTCAGGCAATTGGCCTTTTTTCAAGATTAAGCCGAGCCCAAGGCTTCAGTTTTTAATTTCATGAAATTAATTTGTGGGTGTGACCTTTGGATTGTTATGAAAACCAGACGCGAAGACAACAAAGCCCAGTGTGACGTGTCTGCAGGCACGTAGAGGAGTTGCTGTTTGATAAACAGACTTTCAGACAGAGGTCTGTGAAATGGAGGCCGTGGCTCGGCTCTAATCTCCTCCTCGTGACCCAGATGAAATCTTGGAAACAACCAGCGAGGCGGCATCAGGCCTCGTCTCGGTGGCGGGTCGTTTTCTTGAAGACACACCACTGTGCAAACAACATCCTCCTTGGATGAGTGGACTTTGATCAGGAGAAAACACTCAGGACTAAACAGAGAAGTTGTGCAAGTCTTACCTCAGAGGTGATTATTAGACCCACATGAAGGCAGAAAAACCCTCTGACTGAGAGGTTATAATAGTTCAGCGTTTCTCAGACTTCTCTGTCAGGGCCCCCCACTTCGAAGAAAAAGAAAAAACAGGAAAAAACAACAACAAAAAGAACTGGCCCCAGACCAAAACAGCATGATTATTAAAGGAAATGCAATATGTTGCCAATTTTTCTGTGTTCTCTGAATAATATGCTGTCAAAAAATTTGCCAGTTGAGTGATAGAGCACCCCCACATCAGGCCACTTCGCCCACCCCTGGATGGGCCCGCAGTTTAAGAACTATTGTAATAGCATAATTAAAACTTTAGTTTGAAACGGTATAAGGTTTCTTACAATTCTCTTTAAAGYGCCTGTGACGTCAAATTTTTGTAATACGTGTGAATGCACTTTTAGAAAGAGGACATTGATAAAATATTGCAAAATAAATTTCATACAATAAGCCATGAGATATCTAATGCATGGCCACAAACTTTAATGCCATGCATTAGCTATCTCATGGCCACAAGTTATTATCTCATGACCCCAACACAATTCATGGCCATGAGGTATCTCATGCATGGCCACAAGCTACATTGTGGTCATGAGATAGTAGCCATGCATTAGCTAACAAATTATCTTGAGCTACGCATATTTTTTGTAACCACAAGATAGTTAATGCATGGCCATGCATTAAATTAATTTTACACAATGTGATAAAATGGCTCTGTACATAAAGGACAGAGTTCATGTTTGCTGACATCTGAATTAATTTCATTTTAAAAAATGTTTTTTAAACACAAACAGAACTGAACCTTAAAATGCTCCTTTTAAACAGAAAATAAACATATTCTGAATGTTTTGTGTAACAACAGAAGGTTTATTTTAATATACTGATGTTTAACCTTCAGACTTTTTGAATGGATTTGCTGTTTAACTGAAAGATATTTGTTCTTTCTTTTCTGTTTGTGACTCAAAGTAATTCCAGCGTCTAAACAAACATCTAGATGTTTATATGTTTTGGCAGCAAAGAGAAGGCTCTCAGAGGAGCTGTGAGCAAAAATTAACAAGTTCAATATGTTCATATATACAGTATATATAAACAAGTAAATGGCAAAAATGATCAATTGTATCGTCTAAATCTGAACTATATAAAGTATAACTTAGTTTTTGTGCAGTTAATTTAAAAACAGCCTCAGGGCTTACTTTAGTGTGCTGTCAGCTAAAATCAGAAATCCAGCGTTTTATTTTTATGAAATGAAAATCCCGTACGGTAAAACCACCATCACAAACAGACAGTAACCCCTGCTGATATAAGACATTAACTCTCATATGTGTAAAAGTGTTTTCAAGAAAAAAAAGCTATTAATCTTGTGCTGTGGTTTTATTTTGATTGCCTTGTTTTTATTACTGCATCCCTCTTGTGACAGAATGTAATGTTTTTTTCTTCATTACCCGCAGAGACGGAGTCCTCAGAGTTCAGCTGAACAAGCCTCCAGAACAGTTCGTTTGTCATCCAATGTTTTTTCCATTTGTTAGATAGATGGAAGCTCAAAGTTCTGCTGTTTTTGTTGCTTTCAGACATAAATCACAAACTTTCAAAGTATCCATAAAGTCTGCCTTTTGACAGAAAATTAAATGGTTGTTCATATTTAAAAAAAGACTTCTCTGCTGGTGTAAACTTTTGTCAGCAAACCATAGTGAGTGTGGTATTGGTAACAAAATGTTCTTAAATTTTGCATTAAGGTTTTATCAAGGTAGTAATTTTTTTTTGACAAATGTAATTCAAACAACTGAAAGAAAAAGGAGACAAAAACAAATTTCACAGTCTCTTGTCCTGAGCAAAATGTTTTTTTTTTAAAAAAGTGATTGGATCTAATTTGTACAAACTATTTTTTTAATCTATCGGCTATAATGAAGAAATGTACAAATCACAAAGCATTTATTTTTTTTTGCTTGGACAATAAAATTACAATTTTGCGAGTCTTTTAAAAACAGTTTTTGTATTAAATTTTCAGCAAGGTTTATTTTTTTCAATAAAAATTTYAACTTTTAGCAGCCCTCCCAGAAAGTAATATTTTGATGCAACAACTTAATAACTTTAACTAAACTAGACTAAAATGGACATGTTAGCAAACACAAAACTAAGTCAATTTAGAGATATTGAGCTTAATTGGGTGTTGTAGCTGAGACTCATCACCAACCCATAATCATAATAGTATAATAAAYATTTTAAACTACAGATTAAAATAATGTTTTTTTTCTTTTTGTAAGGATCTACTAATACCAAATTGCTCGGGGAAATAAAAAAATACACGAGGAATAAGCTCAGGATTCAAGCGAATAAAGTAGTCTGGCTGAGGGGGGTCACCATTTATTTTAGGGGTGGACACTGCCCCCTCACAGCCCCCTTTGGTGTCACCCCTGCAAATAATTAAAGAAAGCTGATGAAACAACTTATTTGTATTATTAACACCTCAATGTTGCTCAAAGACAATAAATCCAAGCTGATAAATGCTTCTATTTAAGGTCACAAAGAAATAAGCCACACAGCTAAATGATTCTTTGTTTTTGGCATCTCAGTCAAATCTGCACAGGCTGATCGTTTTCTGCAAATGTAGCCGGGCTTCAGACACCAAAGGGAGATGTGAATCTGCCTACATTGTCTCCTGATGGCCTTAGAGGACAGAAAAAAAATAGCCTTGTCTTTTTTTAAAGGCCCTGAAACAATGAAGCTGGGCTCTGAATGAGGAAAGCTCACGGTGCACCATCGATTAGAGCTCAGCCTGTTAGGAAACCATACCCTGACGTGATGCGTGGGAATTTGTCTGTTTTATGGAACATCGATCTGTGCAGCTGTGTTTGACATCTGGTTAAAATTAAAAGGTTTGCTTGAAAAGAGCTGCAGAGATCTGTTTAAAACACTGATCACACAATCACAGTGCTTCTGCAATAAGAAAAAAACAAAATAAATAAGTATTATGTGACGTCATAAAAATAATTTAAAGCTTGTCTAAATTAAAACCTGTCCTTCACAACCTTAAGGGACAAAGTGTTAAAGATCTGTGTGTTAGGGGTCACTCTCACTTTGAGACAAAGTGGACTCTCTCCGGTTTTCGAGACATAAAGCGGGCTGTTTTTAAAGTGGACTTCAGTTTTTTGGTCCAAGCCTGCGTGATGAGGTGGCCTGTTATTAACAGGAAGCGCAGCGGTAAAGGACTTCCTGTTGTTTTTCAGTCCAAACGCAGAGCGTGAGGATCTGTGAGGCAGCAGGAACCGCCTGCTGTTTGCATTCAGCCTGATGAGCTGCTGAAATTAGACACGTCCYATGAGTGACTCATGAAGAAAAGGTCTTCTTGTTTCATTCAGCTAAAAACAGATGTTTACATACACCGTATAAGAAAACATGATTTAAAAAAAAATTAAGTCAAACTAAATATTTTCCAGTTAAGGGTCACTTATAGTTCTCAAAATTATTTATATTTGTCTTTGAATAACAAAAAAAATGTTACTTTTTAAAAAATCTTAGTATTTGGTAGAATTTTCTTTAAACACTGAAGTATTAGATTTCCTTCTTCAGGGTTTTACAATATAATTGAACTTTTGTCTGGTTTGTAGGCTTCACATCTCTCTACTGTTGAGATTAAAACAAAACTCTGTAATTAATTTATTTGTTGAGGCTCATGGTTCATCTGAAAACCTCCTGGCTGATGTCATGAGACGTTTAATATTTTTCTTGAATGTTTTTTCCTCGTGACGTAATGTTTTTTGTAAAGTGCATTGGCCCTTCCTGCAGGAAATCAACCCCACAGCATGATGCTGCCACCCCCGTACTTCACAGCTGGGATGTTCTCAGGCTTACAGACTCCTCTCTTCTTTTCTCCTCCAAATGTAACGATGCTCATTACGATTAAACGACTCATTTTTAGTTTCATCATACAACATGATGTCACTAAAATGATGGCAAACTCTGATCAAGATTTTATGTTGCTTTCAGAATAAAAATTCTTCACTGAGTTTCTTTTCACCTCATCTTGATCCAGGACTTATTTTTCTCTGGCTGATCAGCTCCAGCAGTATTAAGCTCTTTTTGTTTTTGTTTTGGGGTCGATGTGCACAGTCTGCACCTGACAGTATGATGTTTGGCATTTATTTGTGTCTAGCTGCTTGCACAGAAGATCGTGACCCCTTCAGGAGGTGGTACCTGAGGATGAACCACAGTTTAGAGGTTGACAGTTCTCCTCCTGATATTTTGGCTGATTTCAATCAGTTATTTTGTTAACTAACCTATCAGAACCTTCCACAGCAATGACGTCATTATCTGGGTTTTCCAAAACAGTTCAAAGCACATCTGACAAACCTAAGGTCCACGGGCCAAATCTGGCCCTCGTTAACATTTTATCTGGTCCCAAATGTTTACTTAAATGTAAAATACTTTTAAGGTTTATCTTTTTGTCTCTGAATTTAGTTCATTCTTCTCAAGAAAACCTTCAAGCTAAGAACCTTTAGTTGGAATTTTTAGTAATCTTGAATTTTGGAGTGTAAAAAGCAACAGAGAACTGATTTTAATGATATTTTTCTGTATTTTCTTATTATTGGATTGTGATAATATGCATCTCTAAGAACAAATTGTTGTTGATGGACAGATGGAGAGTAGGGAATAAAAAATAAATACTAATGATGAGTCTTTCTAAATTTAATCTCTTTTCTTAATTTGTTAGGTCAGGGGTGTCCAACTAATTTTTACTGGGGCAGTTGTGATTAACTTTGACRTTTCATGTTTAACCTCAAATAAATACAAAATGTCATGTTCCTGTGTGCACCRCTAACAAATACCAACTGAGCTCTACCTGGTATTTTCTGCATGGAAACATAGTTTTAACATGTCCTCTTAAAAATACTGTGTATTTACTCACTGTTGAGTTGTGATGAGTAGCTGCCATCTTGAATTCTCCCACCTTCCTACAGGGAATTCCCACTAGAGAGGCATTCCAGTTCAAATTAACGACTTGTAAGTAGGAAAATCCCACGTCGGTACAGCTGGTCCAAAGTAAAATAGTTGGTAAAAATGAAAATTTTACCTGGTATTTTTCACCAGCTACTTTCAAACCCTGTGCAGCTCCATCTAGTGGTGGGATGCTGTCATTTCACAGGTAAAATAATGAACATRCATTATGGGAGATGTAGTTTTTGGTTAATGTTGACTTTAAATAAATTTATTGTAAAGATGATAAAGCTTTTGCAGACCACAAAACGCAGTGGTGGGCCACATTTTGYCTCTGGGCCAACATGTTAGGTTATGCATGTTCTAAGTGTTTCATAAAACATATCCTAGCATTTCTAAGTTGTATTTTTTAAGGAATAATTTGTTACTTAACATTAGACCCTAGCTTGGACCAAGTTTTGAATTTTGGCTCCTTGTAATCTTAGTGTACATAAAYGTGGCTTTGAAGAAACTAATTATTTAAACATTTAGCAAACAGACATCATTTTGTGGATCCTAACGGACCTAAAACAGAAAAAATGTTTAGTTTGAATTCATGTCAGGGAGAAAATGGAAACAGAAACAAGACACAAAAAGTTTTACGTTTGGCAAAAGACTAAAATATAATTTGATACAATGCATTTATATTCATACATTCGACATATCAGAAAACAAAAACAAGTGCCTGAGTATTAAAAAAACAAAACAACAAAGTTTTTTAATTCACATCAAGTCACACCTTCAGATAATCAATACAGCAGCCAAACAGGCGATACGATCATGTTCAAAGGTACAAAATGTTGCTCAGAAGAAAGACTCACCTTTAGCGCAATCTCAGAGCATCCACTGTTATATATATATTTTTTTATTTTTTTTACAGAAAACAGTATCAAACATTAGGCAAAGTCATTTCATGACAAAAAACCATGAACATACACATGCATTTACATTTTTTTCTTTTCTTTTTCATAATATTGAGCTTTGCACATGAAGGCAGACAGCTTACAAAATCAAAACCACGTGTTGGTTGTTTTCATTACAGATTCGAGAGAGAGAGAGAGAGAGAGAGAGAGAGAGAGAGAGAGAGAGAGAGAGAGAGAAGGATCACCGAGTCAAGGCGAATATTGAGA